GGCAACACTGCCTAGGTAAAACATGCCAGAGCCAACAGATGCCCTTCTACACAGAAGTTACCGTACAAAGGCAGGAGCTAGAAGTGGGGGTGGGGGGCAGTCTGTGGGTGGAATCCTTTAAGATCACTGGGGCGTTAGAAGTTTTAGAAGGGGAGGAAAAACACTTCCTGAGCATTACTGACGAGCACCCAGCAGAGTTAAACCTGAGCTCGCCAATATTTTTTGGAAATTTAAAAGTCAACCTTTCAAAGTTATGGGGAATTAAAAAACAAACAAACAAACAAACAAACTGTAAAAGCTTCCAACCAGCTAAGCTGGGGGTGGGGGAGGCAGGGGAAGTGGAGAATTTTGGGAACAGTCCAGGGCACAAGACCGGGGGTAAAGCACAAGTGGAAGCAAGACTATGATTGGGCAGAGCCTCGAGAAGAGGCTACAGAGCAGGACTGATGAAGGGGAGAGGAATTTGGCATGTGGGCATCAGTCAAAGACTGATGGGTGGAAGGAAAGTGATCTCAGCAATGACCTGTTGGGACAGATGGGAGCAGGGAAGGGAGATTAAAAGCAACTGGGGTAAGTGATAAGGTTGGTAGGGACCAGAATAGGGCCCAGGGGCGGAGGGTTCTGGAGAGAAGGGATAGAACTCGAAAGAGGACAAGCCATGGAGAAAAGCCGACAGACTTGGGTGATCAGTTAAGGGAGAAAGGGATGAAGAGATTGGAGACAGATTCTTAATTTGGCTAAACCGGTGTCAATCCAGAGTAACTCCACTGACACCAGGGCAGTGACTCCAGAGCTATTCCGGTTACGACCAATTTAACATGGTTCAAGAGATTCTGAGCAAGCAGCCAGGGCCCAACACGTGCCTGTAAGTGTCACTAGTGCACCGTGTAACTGACTTGAGACGCCAGTTGGCCAAAGGTTATCTAGCATCTGTCAGCCCTAGAGGCTAAGTACACGCCAGCACCTCTGAAGTGTCGGGACTAAGAGGCACGCCTAGGCCCTGCTGGGCTCAGGCACTAACGGCCATGTCTCAGGCCTAAAGCACAAGGCCCATGCGAGCAAAGCAGCCCGGTGTCATGTCAGAGACACCCCGGGCCCACCACTGTGCTCGAGGGGACAGGGCCCCTCAAGCTGCTCACGAAACAGGCTGGCCCGGGGGTCTGTGCGGCACAGACTGGATCAATGCAGAGACCAGCTGCCTTCAGGAAAACCCGTGTCCTGCCGCTTTGGTAGAGCCCGGCTCCTGCAGCCAGGCCATGCCCAGGGAATGCCTCGGCCCTCCTCAAAACTCTCTAACCAGGGTGGGCAATCATTTTTGGTGGGGAGCCACTCCAAGATTTTGAAAAGTGGTCAAGAGCCACGCTCTTCTGTGGAGGGAATGCAGGGTCTAGGATGGAGGCTGGGTGCAGAAGGGCACATGGGGCAAGGAAGTGGGGGTGCAGGAGTCTGTGAGGTCTGAGAGGGAGTTGGGGTGTGGGAGGGGCAGGGGTGCCAGAGGCAGGCTCTGGCTGGAAGGCGCTTACCTAAGTGTCTCCTGGCCAGCAGCCCTGCAGCACCCCAAGGCAGGTCGACAGGCTCAAGCTAGTGCGCTAAGAATACCAGCGTGGATGCTGCAGCAACGAAGGGGGAAAAAAAAAAACCCCCCCCCCCCCCCCCGGCCAATCTCTCAACTCCTATTGGCTGGTTGTTTCCAGCCAAAAGAAGCAGAGAGATTGGTTGGGATCAGTTCCTTTTGGTGGATTGTTTTTAGCCAACAGGAGCTGAGGATTGGGCTGGGGGTGGGGAGATCACATGAAGCCACCTCCTCCCTGCAGAGCGGATCGCTTGACAGACCGCGCTTTAAACCGCGGCAGCTGCGTGCCTGAGGGTCCCGGGAGGGCGGTCCGCAGGCCGGCTCCGGCTCCCGGGCCATATTTTGCCCAGCCCTGCTCTAAGCTCAGGATGGGAAGAGAGCAAGAAAGGCCACGGAAGCCACTAGCAGTCCCACTTCTGCCATTTGCTTTACGTGGCAGGCACTCGCCTGCTACCACAAAGGGCAGGAGCACAAGCTACTCTGCCACGCTGTCCCTGGGCTCCCTCGCGCTCCGCACTCCTGTCCAGTGAGCACCGAGGGGCAGGGAGCCGGGCTGGACTCTCCCATGGAAGTTCCTTGCCCCTTTAGCAGCAGCTTGCCAGGAGAGGCAGCTGCAGATCGGGATGGAACTGGCTCTGCCCCAGTTGCCTGCCTCCTGCCAGAGTGCATTGTAACTGCTTCCATCACACCCAGCACAGCCGGTCCTGATGGGAGCTGCCTCCCGGGCAGGGGCTGGAGAGGGCCTTAGACCACGAAGATCAGCAGGGCCACAACGCAGAGCAGCTCGTCAACAGGCAGAGTCGCTCTCCAACGAGAGCAACAAGTGAGCTGCTCCTGTCGGCAGCGTCTGCCAAACTGGTGCACTGGAGTCAACATGCTGCCATTGGAAACAGAACCCCGTGGCTGGGGTAGGCAGGGTTAGGAAGCAAGAGGCCGTCACCAGTGGTAGCTATTTTATAGCGAGGAGATCTGACTGCGGGTGAAATGGCCCTGGGGAGCCTGAATTATAAACACTCAGTTCCAAAAGCCAATAAATTGTAACAAAAATAAGACTGAAACCAGAATGGGTGGGGGGAGACGGGGAGGTACCAAAAACTCCTTTTTCCAAACCAGTGTTACCATGGGGCTTTGAAAAGAAAGCAGCAGCAAATCAAGAAAGCACGACCTTACGTTAAAAATACCAATATTGGAGTCGGTGTGGGTCCATGGAGACCGCTTAAGAATAAGCGAGCAGTCTATGCGCCGCCTGTGTGCTGGTTCAGCTATGTTAGCTTAGAAGCAGATAAAGCTACTAGAACCATTCCCCAAGGGGATGCAATTAGGCTAGATCAACACTGTTTATATGGATATATGCACAATATTTTATATCTTTCTCTGTCATATATTTGAGAACGTCTGTCTGTCTGTCCATTTGTTCAAGAACTCCTGAACGGTAAAGAGCTAGGACCACCAAAGTCAGGATGCAACGGATCATAACTTAAAGCCAGGTGAGGGTTTGGTTGGGCCAGGACAATGGGACGTGCCTGGAATGCGATTCCATTTGGTGAGAAACAAAGGGAGGGGTGTAACAGCAGGGACAGCAAGTGCACCAACCCCAGGGAACAACCCGCGGGTGAGCCATGCAGCCCCCGCCACCCCGGGCCAGCCCTGGCAAGTACAGATCCCCCAAACCTCCCAACCCCTTGCCCTGACTCCCAACGCGGACTCCTGCACTCCCAGCCCCTGCCCTAAAGGACCCAAGTAATGCCAGGCAAGTCTTCCAGTCTAGTGTGGCCTTAGTTAGACTGAAGTTGTGCAGCTTTAGGTTGGGGTACAAAAGTTATCCTTCTGACAAACCAGTGCAGTCTGCACAAAACAAGGTCTAAGCAGGCCAAGCCCCAGGAGCAGACGCCAAACAGAAAGAGAAGCACTTGTGGGGGAAAAGCTAAGGGAGAAGGAATAAAAGGCCATTTTTCTCTTGTGTCACCATGCAGCCAGGATGTGCCCAGCTAGCTGATGACACAACATGTGCGTGGAAAGGAGCACCCAAAAGGAGAGTTACTCATTTAGCCGCAGTAATTGAGGGAAACTTTGTTTTCTAGTTAGCTGGGCTACAGTTAACCCAAGTAGAACACAAGCTACAAGGCTGGGGTATGCAAAACGTCCAGTCCAGTGACCCTGCCGTGACTGGGCTCCTTTAGCAATAGGAGTGAAGGTTTTAAAGCCCCTTCTCACGTTTTAGGCATGAAATTGACCCTCTACTCCCCACCTTGTTTAATTCTACAAATCCCACCCCACCTGCTGCTACTAGCTCATTGCAATGCTAAAGTGAGTTGTGCTCTAACTTAGTCATCCTAACTATTAACAGGTTTGGTGCAAATCAGGTTATGACTAAGAGCTGGTGTAATTAAACAAGCGACGTTCCCATGCAAATCCTCCAGTGTTGTCAGTACAGAAATATTCTGTAACTTAGATCCAATTGCTTCCATGCAGTAATTACTCGGTGAGGGGTAATTGGCATGGAGAAATCCCTATTGCCCGGAATCCTCCAAGTTCACTCAAAGCTGCTGCGGCAGCACCCGAGGGAAATTCGCCCTGAACAAGGGGGCAGTACAAAGCTTATGCATCACTTAAATCCTTTGCCTCCCTTGACTGCCCAGGAAGAGAGTTTGTGACCTGGTGCAACCTTCTGCCAAGCACTCTCGTTATAAGCCGCCCTTTCTATGTGCAGAGGCAGGAAAAGGCCCTGAAAGGAGAGAGGGAAGGAGCCAGTAAGAACGGGAGAGGGACACCGCGAGTGAGAAAGCGCACCAATGCGAGGGGAACACAGTGGGCCCGATTCTCATTTACACCATTCTGTAACAGGCCTCAGAGTGGGGTCAATAGAGGTTGTGCCTGTGGCAAAGCCCCTCTACGGGGCCGAGCTGTGCAAGCGAGAACCGAGGCAGCAAGGCTGTGAGGTGCTCAGAGAGGAATTCGGGATCCATGCGACAGAGCCACAGGGATATTTCCACCAGCAAAGAGGCTCAAGGGCGTCACACGGCTGGCTTTCAAACCACGGCTGTTGTGCAGGAGTAACATGGGGCAGGAATGTTGTTCCAAGCCGTGGTGTAGTCTCCCCGCCTCAGACAGCTCCCTGGGCTCGTCCCACAAGGTCCCGCCACACAAGCTGTTTTACGTTAGCCACCAGGGCATCTTACTGCATCGAAACCTACTGTGTGGGGATGGCAGCAGAGCTGGACTTTCCAGCAGCTGTATGTGTCATGGCCTCCTGCATCAGCTCCCAGGCTTAGAGCAGGGCACAGGTCCGACCAGTTTGTAAAGCGGAAGGTCACGTACGTTTGAGCAATGATCTGAGTTCTCATGAGGAGCCAACAAGCCGAGCTGCCTCCCTGGTTAGTCAGGGCTTGGCAAGGCCGGTTTTCACTCCCCCCAAACCATCACTTACCTAAAAAAGCCTTTGCAGCCTTCACACGTCATGGCATTGAAGTGAAAGCCAGTGGCTTTGTCCCCACAGACGCCGCAGATCCGGGGAACGTTCCGATCGAACTCGCTGGCCGGGTCCGGCAGAGGGGTGCTCGCTTCCAGCAGCTCCATCTCGGAGACTGAGAAAGAGCAAGGTGGTTAGAGAGACGTCTCCAGTTCAGCAAGTTGGCACTGGGCGCCTGCTGGCTCCCTGCCAAGAGTCCGTCTGGGTTGCGCTGTGCAGCGCACGGAGGAATGTGATGGGATCACAAATGCACACGGGCGGCTTTGGCTCGGCTACCCGGCAACGGCGCTGCTAATCTTCACACCGCTCCCCTGCCACTGGGGTTGCACAGCCAGAGCTCATCGCGTCGGCCCACCGGAGAGCGTGCAGCTTGCCCGAAAAGCCCAATTTCCCTTCTGCACAAAAGGAAGTGACCCAAGGACGCCGGCCCAGCCCGCGAGGAGACGAGCAACAGCTCTAAGGGGAATTCAGAGCTTGCACGACCTACACG